GGGCGGGGCATGTAGGTGGGTTGGAGAGAGGTAAGGATGGCTGAGAGGGTGTGCAGGTAACAAGTTGGGGGGAGCATTTGGACTGGGAGGGAGTTAGGGGCAGCTGGGGGGACAGCTTCCTTGTTGGAGGGGGAGTAGGGGTGGGGTGGGGGCCTGTGGGGCTGGGGTCCAGAGTTTTATCTTGGTCAGTGAGCCATCCCCTCCACAGGGAGAGCCAGGTGGAGCTGCGGGAGCACATCGACAGCCTGGCCACAGGTGAGACATGAGGGCGGGAAGTCAGCTCTGCAGCCCAGCTGTGGGCGCACAGTGGGGTTTGCCCCACATTCCCTGGGGATCTGTGGCACCCTGGGCCCACTCCCACCCTCTGCTCTCTCAGAGCTGTGCCGCATCAATGAGGACCAGAAAGTGGCGCTGGATCTCGACCCCTACGTGAAGAAGCTGCTGAATGCCCGGCGCAGGGTGGTGCTGGTTAACAACATCCTGCAGAACGCCCAGGTCAGCACAGGGACCCCAGGGGGGTTGGGAACCACGGCGTTTTGGGGGATCCCAGCCCCCCATCCTGACAGCTGCTGCTCCTCCGTGTAGGAACGGCTGCGGAGGCTGAACCACAGTGTGGCCAAGGAGACAGTGCGGAGGAAGGCCATGCTGGAGGCGGCGGGGGGCTACCCCCAGGGCCTGCCAGGCAAGTGAGGCCCCTGTGGCAGCACTGGGCCGGATCTGACTCACACCACAGCTGCGCCAACAGCCCTGTGAGCTGGGCCGGAGCAGGAGCGTCGCCATAAGGACAGTGAACAGAGCGGGCTACTGGTGAGGAGAGCAGGTATCCCTGTTTGTAGCAGCGCTCTCCTGAGCATCCACAGCACAGGATGGAGCGAGAAGTCCTGCATTGAGGCAGAAATCTGTGTTTCCAGATTTGTAGGCACCATAATAAAAGTGATCCCACGTTGCTTATGGGATGGTGAGGCAGCATTGTGAGTCTGTAATGTTCCCGTGTCACAGCTGCAGCGTTGTGAGTCTGTAACACTCCCACATCACAGCCACAGCGTGACATTGATGTGCCTGGGGAAAAGCAGAACTAAGCACGTGCTGCCAGCAGAGAGCACAGGTGTGGGGTTTAGCATGCCCAGATGGGGCTCTTCAAGTTCTGGAACCCCCTCCTGCTGTTAGACCTTTTTCTGGCTCCCTTCTATAATGCGCATTTTCTACCTAAACAAACAGGATGCACTCAAAAGGGGGGAACACTTTAATGTGCAACTTATAAAAACACATACAAGGGACAGGTCATGTCAGCTGGTTGTGTTCACTGAGGATGGGCTTAGTCCTCTACTCGATTCTTCACGTCCTTCAGCCAGCGGCACCCAGCGGTGGGGAGTCCCACTGCAAGGGGAAAAGACAGACTGCCGAGGGAGGGAGCACTGCCCCAGGGTGGAGGCAGCCCAAACCGTTCCCTGCCCTGTCCAGAGCTGCCTTCTCCCAGGCAGCAGTACCAACAAGCTTTACCTGCATGAGTCACTCCTGCGTTTCCATGCTTTCCTCCTCCTCGCCTGTAGCAGGTTCTTCCTGATTCTCTTCTTCCTCCTCTCCTTCTTTCTTCTCTGGAGGTTTCTCGTAAGCCTTCTCAGAAGGCGTCACTATCACTCCATCCCACGTGGACATTTCAGAAGCCAGGTCTGCAAAAACAGTCTTGGGTAACCCTGAGCAGCACGGACGAGCCCCAGGACAGGCAGGGGGAAGCACGACACCCCACCTCGCCAGCTTCACCTCCCCACTGCTCTGGGGTTTATTGAGTCGTTTCTCCTTGAAGCCCTTAACTTTCTCCAGCAACACAGAAAACCAGTCCCATTTACCCACCAAGACATTGACAGCCTGCATGGAGAAAGACCCACGTGTTGCACAGACCCCACTTACAGCTGGCATCACCCTCTTGGCCAAGGATTTTCCTGTAGCCTCCGTGAGAGAGAATCCGGACAAGTGTCTGCGCAGTGTAGCACACCATGTCCTGTGGGGGTGGGAATAGTCTAAGAGTGTGGACAGGTTGTAGTCCCTTCTCCTGCAGGGGACAAGGCAGCTCACCTGCTGTTCGAGGGTCATAACTGTGTGGACTCTGAAGTTTCCGCTCTCGCAGGGATCAGTGATACCAACAGATCCAGGAAGGAAGAGCCCTGCGGCTAGGATCTGAAGGCAGCGCCTATGGGACAAGACGTTTTGGGTTAGAAACCAGGCTGTTCCAGCACAGAAACTCAGCCAGAAAGTCTGCAATTAGCACATCTACGTGAGGAGTCCGCTTTGTGTCCAGTTCAGGTCCATTCAAGCCCTAAGATGCTGCCGCTTTCATTTGGTATGTTCAAAACTAAGATGGTAACAGTAATTTATACGAGTGAAGCAAACAGCAACAGACCTGTAGGCGATGTTGAGAGCCAGGGGCTGCCTGGTGGGGTTGTTCATCACAGCATAGTGCCCCTGAAGAGGTGAAAGAAGAGGGAGTTAGGGCGAGAGCAACTTCCCACAAGAGAAGCGTAAGAATCCCAACTCCTGCTGCTGCGGGAGCCCAATGATGTGTAGGCATCTACTAGTTAGCTGTGGCATGGCTGGCACACCATCACCATTCCCCCTTGTGCGCTTACCAGCAGGTCCAGAATCCAGGGCGTGAGGGGCTCAAAGCCAGGGAATCGAATTCTCAGGTCTTTCAACAGCCGGATTAAGACCTTCACCCTGGAAAAGACAGCAGGAGGAGGGTTCATAACATGTCACGCACCTTCCTGCTGCAGGAACAGCTCTCCTTGCTTTCCCCCTGTTCTCTGTAAAGGAGATTATTTCAACCAGGCCTCAGTGCTGCAGTTCCTCTTTGAGGCCAAACTCACGTGGACTGTGAAGCATTCTCTTCGAACCAGCGAGCATGTCTGATGGCAGCCAGGGCACTTTGCAGTACTTTGATGTCCACTGAAAGAAGCAGCAGAAATGCCTGGTTTTTCAACTGAAAGGTGAGTAGGTGTGGGCCAGGAGAGACCAGCTGGCTCCCCCCAACTTCTGAAAGTTCACATGCAGGGCAGAGCAAACAGCTCTTACAGTGTAGTTCGGGGTCCAGCTTGCGGAGATTGGGCGGCACTGTGGTGATAAGGATCTTCACCGTTGCATCGGCCGAGCTGATCTCAAAGCCAGTCTCGTTGGTCAGCATGGTCAGGACTGGGAAGAAAGAACAAGAATTCCTTGTGGAGGGGCTGGAAGACCTCACCAGCACCTGGGAATGCAGGAAAGACCACAGATCTTGGCAACAGTGCTGCAGCACCAGGCTGGGCACCATCCCCTTCAGACAAACGCCAAAGCTCAAGGGGAAACTGCCTCGCATCAGCCTACGTCCTCCTCAACCTTGTCCCCTCAACCCTCTGTGACACAGGAGAGTGTCCCACCTTCACTGGGGTCCTGTGCTCTCAGGCTTTCCACAACTTTGTTTCCCAAGGCTGCCACAGCTTCCACTAGGGAGAAGCAGAAGAAGCAGCAGTCAGAGCAGGGCTGAGCACTGCGGTTCAGTCAGTGGCCACGCAGCCAATACTCACAGGTGGGTAAGATTTTCAGAATCACAACCAGATCGGCCACGTTGTGCCCTGTCGTCATGGTGCCCTTCTTGTAGGAACCCACCTGGCGAACTTCCTCGATTTGCTGTTTGAAAGAGCAAAGCAAAAATCAGTGAATTTAATGCACATGCTGTTTCTGGGAGTCGGCATGAATATTTCATCCATCTGGGGCCAGGTTTGGTAGCTAGAACACCGGCATCCCTCATGCCAAAGTATGTCCCCACATAGCTTTTTTTCCAGGCTCACCACTTTTGGACTTACCACTTCAAATGTTCCTGGTGCTACAATTAAATTGTCAATCACATTATTTATTTTGGTCACCAGGGAAAGAATGGAAGCCTGTAAAGGAATCGGAGAGGGTCAGTCCATTGTCCAGTACAACTTGAAATAATCTGATCTTGCACCGTGTATAATGCAGACAGCCCTGATGCAAGATATACAATAAATGAAACATTTAACAATCACTGTCCAAGAAGCTCCACCCATATTTCTACTGTAGTGCTTATTTCAGAGGGAAGTCATTACTTTTTAGGCTAGTAATGGCCGCTCCTGGCTATGCTCTCTGAAGGATAGTCTGTCTTTGTGTTCTCTAACACTGCAGTAACATCCAGTCAAAGAATTTAAAGCAGTTTTGGGCACAAAACCTGTTCAGCAGCAGTTGGAGCAAGATCCTGGTTTCTCTTCAGCAAGGCTTCACTGAACGCAGTCTCATCAGCAGCAGGTTTTACACGGGGGAAAGCCATTTCACACTGAAACGGGATCAGATATCAGACTGCAATGCCCAAGAAAGACTTTGGTTCAGCCCACTCATCAGCAAAATTTACTCCATTTTTTTATTCTCCAGCGCTTGTTTCCTTTGCAATTCCCCATCATGCTTTTCACTTGTTGCTTTTATAATTTCACTTTCACGTTATCCTAAGGGAGGGAGGGCAGCTGCCTGTCCTGCCTGTACACTCTCACTGTGATCTGACAGGAATGGCAAGTCTTCACAAATGGCAGAGGAGCCATCAGCATGCCCATGCAACTATGGGGTGTGAGACAGGGCAGATCTAATTAAGAATGGCTCTATCAAGAGGGTTTTTATTACCTATATTACAGTCCCTTAAGAATAACACCCTTTGTTTGCAGATGGCCAGAGCTTTTCAGTTGCTGTGATGGGATTCACAGCCACAGGGCCTGGAAGGCAAGAGTAAGTGAACTAGTTTGCCCTGGAAGTCCTGTGTCTGTAAAGGGCAGGTGCTCAGCAGGAGGAGGAAATTATTTCCTCCTATAAAAAGGTGGGAAATGTCTGTTGCTGTCGGTCCTTGCAAGGACCAATGCAGCAAAAGAGCCTGGAGAACACCTGACAGGCGAGTGACAGCTATCGGAGTAACCCACGAGGTTTGTGTTACAGAGAGCTGACAGAACTGAGGGTCTAAGTGAGCGAGGTGCCTTAAAAAGCAGAAAAACCTCAATCGAGGCGTTTATTTGTTGTGATTATTACTCAACTGCATCCTAGTCATCCTGTGTGAGACAAGTTCTCCAAACAACAGAGACAGTAAGAAGATCTATTTTGAGTTAGTTACTGAACCAACAGCATTTTCAGTGAACTCCGTTACTCCGGCTATGCTAAAAGAAGTCAAACCATCAAAGTCTGCAAACGAGGTTTTTAAGATGCATCTTTAAACAAGGAAAAGTCCCGCAGCTGTTGCCTGCAAACAGCTCCATAGGAGAGGGTTACTCACGACATAGAAATCAAAGGGGATGTGCGGCACAAAGGGCCGGAACCTAAAGGGGAAAAAGAAAAAAAAAACAAAAACCACTTTATTTCTCTGTAGCGCTGTCTCCCCGCTCTGCTCGTCAGCACTGAACGCCCCCCACCCCATGACCGTTTTGTGGAGAGGCAAGAAAGGCCCTACAGAAACAGGAAAGGTTTCTTCCTAACCCTCCCCCTAACGATAACTAACCCCCGCCCTCCCCCGGTGTCCCACCCCCGCCACCCCGTTCTACACCTCACCGTTATCCTACGCTACACTACAAGCTTAAAGCCCCGGTTTCTGCACCCCGGCAGCTCGCCCCCCGGGGGCGGCCGCGGCCCACCCCCTAGGCCTGAGACTCTAGAGAGCCACCCTCGCTAAAGCAGAAGCCAGACTCGCCCACTGCCAGGGCCTCCCCTGGAACCAAAGCGTCCGCCACGGCCTCTGCCTCGATCGCCCCTGCGGAAAAGAGAAGGGAAAACGGCGTTAACGGAGCGGGAAGGCGGCCCGGGGACGGAGGCCCAGATCCCGCCCGCCCAAGGGCCGGGCCCTCCCTGAGGGACCCCGCGGGCTCCGGCCTCGCACCGGGGATGCCCGGGCGTCCTCCATCGGCTCCGGTCCGGTTCCCGCGTACCTCATGGTTCCCCGCCGCTCCAAACAATGATCGCCGGTGCTGCAATAGAAACCCTGCCGGGCTGCGTTCTTCCAACCCCGCAACAACCTTTTCGTCTATTGGTTTCCCGCCCGCCGCGAGTTTGCCCACTGGCGGCACTCCGCTGTAAGGCATTGGCTCAGATAACCATCAATCCAAAGCGGAGGGCGGGAGGGAAAGCCACCAATCGTGGCGCAGGCCGTGCGCGCGCGCTGGGCGGCGGGCGGCCGCTGGAGGGGGTACGGTGTTCATGAATGGAGCAGCCAGCGAACTCAGCGCGCATGCACACACGCTGGGTGGGTACGTATATGCTGGTAGAAGACTTCTTTTAGGCAGCAGAGTGGCGCAGCGGAAGCGTGCTGGGCCCATAACCCAGAGGTCGATGGATCGAAACCATCCTCTGCTAGCAGTGAGCGTTTTTACCCCCAGCTGCCGCGTGTTTTTCTTCCCTTAGCACCTTAATTAATTACATTAATTTTCGCGGCCGCCTTAAACCCTCCCTAACGGTTCTCTCCGGCGAGACCGATCTTTTGCAGCCTTAGCGGCACGGCGGGTCACCGTGTGTCAGGAGAGTCCCGTGGTGGCCGGGGTCACGCGTGTCCCCACAGCACTGTGCGTGTCCCGGGGGGGGAGCTCCACACGTGTTCCCGAGAAGTGAGCGTGTCCCCGGAGCGGCATCCGTCAGGGGTTACCTCCCCGTTCCCCCGGGGCTGCCGTGACCGGGGCGCGGGGCAGGAGCTCCCACGGGGGGGAGTTGGGGGGTGCCCGAGCCCCCCACGAAGCCCCCCCGGGGCCACCCGAAGCTCGGGCGGGGCGATTCCGTGGGGATGGGCCGATATCCAGGGCTCCGGGGTATTCGCTGCCCGCTGATGAGTTTGTCAGGTCTCAGACCCGCCCGCCCCCACGGGTGACCGTGTTGTGGGGGGGTGGCAGAACCTGGGTGGCTACGGTACCCACAACACGCCGGGACACACCACTCGGCATGTCCCGGCGTGTCGTGGATACCGTAGCCACCCACCACTTCTGCCATCCCACCACCCCACTTCCCACGCGTGGAGGGAGTGGCAGAATATCCACACCCACCACCGGGCGGCCCCATCCTCCATCCCGGTCCTCGGTGGATGCCGTGGGGGTGGGAAGGAAGGAGTTAAGTTCGGTGTGGATGATAACGGCCTTTTGGGTCCCGGGGGGGGGGGGGAAGGAAGGGCTCAGCCCCGTCTCGGTTGGGGGGGGGGGGGAAAAGCCACTCTCCGTGGGCGATGCTGGCGGTGCTGGCCGTGCTCTGCAGCACGGTGACGGTGGCAGCGACAACGGGGACGACCACGCTGACTTTAGCAGTGGTGTTACCCGAACGCAACCTCACCTACCCGTGGGCTTGGCCACGAGTGGGACCGGCGGGGCGTTTAGCCACCGCCACTGTTAACGCCCGTCCCGATTTATTACCCGGTTTTACCTTACGGTGGGTTTTCGGTAGCAGCGAGGATCGACACGGTGTTTGTTCTGAAATGGCTGCGCCGTTGGTTGCCGTCGACCTACAGCTCGCTCATCACCCTGCCGCTTTTTTGGGACCCGGTTGCGTCTATACGGCAGCACCGGTCGCCCGGTTTACCAGCCACTGGCAGCTTCCACTGGTGACAGCGGGTGCCGAAGCTCACGGCTTTGACGACAAGCAAGAGCAATTTGGGTTGACCACCCGTGCGGGTCCCAGTCACCGCAAACTGGGTGAACTGGGCGTGCAGCTCCATCGTCATTTCAACTGGACCCATCGGGCTTTACTTGTTTACTGGGACGAGAAGATGGATGACCGGCCATACTTCTTCGCCGCCGAGGGGCTGTACGTCCAGCTGCCCACCCTGCGCAACCTCACTGTCATGGATGTCGTCTTCCGCGACGGCGGCAACTTCTCCTTCATCATCCAGGAGATCAAGCAGAAGGGACGCAGTGAGTGCTGGGGAGGGGGAGACACACACCTGTGGGGGGGGTCTTGCCATGCACCAGCACGGTGTGGGGGGACAGGGAAGCCAAGGGGGTGCCGGTGTGGGGCATGGGTGGGCACAGCTGTGCGCAGCTCTACACAGCTCTGCATGGGTGCGCACAGCTCCATGTGGGTGTACATGGGTGTGCATGGCTGTGCCTGGGTGAGCACAGGTGTGCACAGCTCTATGCAGCTCCACGCGGATGTGCACGGCTGTGCATTGGTGTTTGTGGCAGTACATGGGTGAGCACGGCTGTGTCCAGGTATGCCCAGGCTTGCACAGGTGTGCACAGCTCTACACAGGTAAGCACAGCTCCGCACAGCTGTACACGGGTGTGCTGCATGACCACACACACGTGTGCTGCCCCGGCCCCGCGTCCTGATGCCCTCAGACCCCCAGCCCGCATTGTGCCCCACCGGGAGCTGCTAAGCATGGCCAGCTGCCCCGCTCCCCTCCATCCCAGTGGCCCAGGCTGGCTTCGTCCCCATCCCCGTCCCTGCCAGCTGCTCCAGTCAGAGCCATCCCGGGTGGCACCAGGGGAGCGGGTGCCAGGGGGGCTGGCACTTGGGTGGGTGGCGTCCAGCCATCCCCAGCCTCTCCATCTTGCTGCTTAGCCTTGGCGGGTGCTCTTTTGGGGCCCCACGGTCCTGACGGGTGGCACGGCTGTGCCCCATGCCAGGCACCACCCATCCTGCTGGCAACGCGACCCCATGCCAAAGGGGACCATGGCAGTGGGGCAGGCAGCACCCACCAGGGTCACCACGCTGCTGAGAATCAATCTCTGCCGGCAATCTGGGCCACAGGGAGGAGGAAACAGAGTCAGGAAAACAGGAAACCTCAGCCTGGCACCCACAGCGGAGGGTAGAGGCGGGCAGGACACTGCGGGGGGGAAGGCAGCGGGGTTAGGGACCCCCCACTCCCTGGCATCCCACTCAGCCACCCTCCACCCGCTCGGCAGCATGACCCACCGCACATCCCCTCCCACATCGTGCATTAACCGGGGACCCTCGGGATGCTGGGCTGGGGTCTCAGGGTCCCCCGGGGATGGGGAGGGTTTCAGGGTGCCATGAGCCTTCTCGCCCCACGCAGTTGTCTACGTCTGCTGCGCCCCGGAGACGCTACGGGAGCTGATGCTGCAGGCAGGACGCGAAGGGCTGACCCACGGCGACTATGCCTTCTTCTACATCGACATCTTCGGGGCCAGCCTGCAGGGCAGCCGCTTCCCTGAGCCCCAGCGGCCCTGGAAGCGGGGGGACCACCATGACGCCAGCGCCCGGCAAGCCTTCGAGGTGAGCCCGGTGCTCTGCTTGAGCACCCACCGCACATGCGTGTGCGTGTGCACGGGCACCCACCCGCATGTGTGCACCTCAGCACAGGAAGCAGGACTGCGGTGGGTGCCAGAGCTGGTGGAGCAGCCCCTGTCTCCCCCCTGCTCGTTCCCCGCTGCTGGCAGCCACCAAGGAGGAAGGAAACGAGATTAATAGCCCTGGGTCCCAGCTCTGGCGCTGCCTGGAGCAGAGGCTATTAATAGGCACTGCAGAAAGACAGGCAGCCCCTGCCCGCAGCCTGGGACCCCGTCCCTGAGGGGACTGGGCAGGGTCCCGGTCCGCGGTGGGGTCCAGCTCAGCCCTGCTGCCAGCCACTCTTCCCCCATCCCAGGCTGTCACCATCATCACCTACAAGGAGCCCGAAAACCCCGAGTATCAGCCCTTCCTGGCACGGCTGAAGGAGGAGGCACTCGCCCACTTCAACTTCTCCATGAAGGACGGCTTGGTGGGACATGGGGGGATGGAGCCAGGAAAGCTGGGGGGCACAGGGCTAGGGGGGCACAGGAGGGAGCTGGGGCTGCTGAGGGACATAGGCTGGAGCTGGGGACAAAGGGACATGGGCTGGAGCTGAGGACAAAGGGACAAGGGGACATGGGCTGGAGCCAGGGGCACAGGATGGAGCTGAGGCTGCTGGGGACAAGGAGTTGCAGGATGACCTGGGGCTGTAGGGGACAAGGGGACAGGGACCCCTGGCTACGCCCCATCCCCGAGCCATCTCCGTGCCCCCAGATGAACTTCATCGCGGCTGCCTTCCACGATGGGGTGCTGCTCTACGCCCAGGCCCTCAACGAGACACTGGAACAGGGCGGCTCCATCACCAATGCCTCTGCCATCACCCGCCAGATGTGGAACCGCACCTTCTACGGTGAGCCCTGTCCCCATCTCATCCCTGTCCCAGCCGGGTGCTGCCTGCCAGGCACCCACCTGCCCCGCTCCCAGGATGATATTTTGGGATCCAAGTCCCCACCCATGGGCTGGGGTCTCTCCCCAGCCCCTCACCCTCCATCCCCAGGCGTCACCGGCTTCCTGAAGATCGACGAGAATGGGGACCGGGAGAGTGACTACTCCCTGTGGGACATGGACCCTCTGAGGGGGGACTTCCAGGTGAGCCCCAGCATGGGGGCAGCCGGTCCTGTGGGGTGGCCGGGGGCCTCCTCCCACCCATTTCTTCCCCCACCCCAAGATCGTGGCCAACTACAACGGCACCACCAAGAAGATCCAGATGGTGCCAGGGCGTGAGATCCACTGGCCGGGAAACGCGGTCCCCTCCGACATCCCCCCCTGTGGCTTCGATAACAGTGACCCACTGTGCCGCAAAGGTGAGCAGTGTCAAGGGGGGGACAACACGACACGAGACCCCCCACTCCAGGCACCTACCAGCCCCTCACCAACCTCCTCTCACTGTGCAGCCAACCTGTCCACGCTGGAGGTCTTGTCCCTCGTGGTCAGCCTGATCCTCCTGGCCATCACCATCACCTCCTTCTTCATCTACAGGTGGGGGTGCCAGGGTCAGGGAGGGTGACCCCAAGGCTGCGCCAGTGTCCCCGGAGGTGGGGGGGACACATAGAGGGGGTCTCACCCCACTTTCCTGGTGCAGGAAGCTGCAGCTGGAGAAGGAGCTGGCGGCCCAGCTGTGGCGTATCCGCTGGGAGGATGTGCAGATGAGCAGCTTGGAGAAACACCTCCGGAGCACCGGCAGCAAGCTCACCCTCTCCCTGGTGAGCACCCATCCTGTCCCCAGCCCTGCTCTGGGGATGGGGACCAGGGACCAGGCTCACCCCGTGTCCCTTTCCCCAGAGGGGCTCCAACTACGGCTCACTGATGACCACAGAAGGGCAGTTCCAGATCTACGCCAAGACGGCATATTACAAGGTATGGGAGTGCTGGGATGGGCACCCACCACCCTGCCAGGCACCCAGTGCCCCACCGGGCACCCATCACCCTGTGTCTCCCCAGGGCAACCTTGTGGCCGTGAAGCACCTCAACCGCAAGCGCATTGAGCTGACGCGCAAGGTCTTGTTCGAGCTGAAGCACGTAGGTGGACCCTGGCTTGGCGCTGCGTGGTGGGATGGGGGTGCTCAGCCTGGTGTCTCCTCGGTGGGGTGGAAAGTGACATGAGCCTGGTCCCACACCCTGCTCCCCCCTTAGATGCGGGATGTCCAAAACGAGCATCTGACCCGCTTCATCGGCGCTTGCACCGACCCCCCGAATATCTGCATCCTGACTGAGTACTGCCCACGCGGGAGCCTCCAGGTACCAGCAGGGACCCAGATAGCCAGCAGCCATCTGGGGCTGGAGTTTCTCCCTCCAGTGCCCATCACTCAGTGTCGGGTCTGCCCAGAGCTGCTCTGCTGGTGCCTGGGGTGGGAGGGAGCTGACCGCAGTGGGCAGATGGATGCTGTCCCCCATCCCTGGACCATCCATGGTGGGGGGACAGCAATGTGACCTTCATGGCCCCAGGACATCTTGGAGAATGAGAGCATCACACTGGACTGGATGTTCCGCTATTCCCTCACCCATGACATCGTCAAGGTAACGAGCTGGTTCCCAGTGGGCACCCAGTTCCCATGAGGGTCCCCTGTTCCCATGGAGGGGGGTGGACAACGAGGTCCGACCACTCTCCACCCTGCCAGGGGATGCAGTTCCTGCACAATGGGGTGATCATCTCCCATGGGAACCTCAAGTCCTCCAACTGTGTGGTGGACAGCCGCTTCGTGCTGAAGATCACGGACTATGGGCTGGAGAGCTTCCGCGTGGCCCCCGACAGCGAGGACTCCCACGCGCTTTTTGCCAGTGAGCACCCTGCCCATCCTCAACCCCCAACCCTGGGAGGACCCCCCGCCCGGGGTCCCTGCCCAGCCTGACCCCCCTCCCCGGTGCCACAGAGAAGCTGTGGACAGCGCCCGAGCTGCTGCGGATGGAGTCGCCGCCAGCCCGTGGCACACAGAAGGGTGATGTTTACAGCTTCGGCATCATCCTGCAAGAGATCGCCCTGCGCAACGGCGTCTTCTACGTGGAGGGGCTGGACCTGAGCCCCAAAGGTGAGTGGGAGGGCTGGGGTCGTGGTGCCAGGGACCTGTTGATGGGTGGTTGGGGCAGCTGATGGGTGGTTGGGGCAGCTGATGGGTGCTTGGCCCCACTAATGGAGGGTTGGACCAGCTGATGGGTGCTTTGGGTGCTTAGACCTGCTGTGATGGGTGCTTAGCCCCGCTGATGGGTTATTGGACCAGCTGATGGGTTGTTTGCCTCGCTGATGGGTGGTTGGATGCGCTGGCAGGTTATTGGACCTACTGGTGGGTGCTTGAACCAGTTGTTGGGTGCTTGAACCAGTTGTTGGGTGCTTGGACCTGCTGAGGGGTTGTTAGACCAGCTGATGGGTGCCTGGACCTGCTGATGGGTGCTTGGGTGATGGGTTCTCAGAACAGCTGATGAGTTGTTGCCCTCACTGATGGGTGCTTGGACCTGCTGGTGGGTTACTGAACCAGCTGATGGTGATTGGACCAGCTGAGGAGTGGTTGGCGTCACTTGATGGGTGCTTGGACAAGCTGTGATGGGCGGTTAGCTCTGCAGATGCATTATTGGACCAGCTGATGAGTGCTTGGACCAGATGATGGGCTGTTGGCCTTGCTGATGGGTGCTTGGAACTGCTGATGGGTGCTTGCACCTGCTGATGGATGTTTGGACCCACTGACGGGTGCTTGGCCCCACAGAGATCATTGAGCGAGTGAAGAGTGGGGAACGCCCCAGCTTCCGCCCCTCGGCCAATGTGGGGTGCCACATGGAGGAGCTAGGCCAGCTGATGCAGCACTGCTGGGCTGAGGATGTCCTGGAGCGCCCTGACTTCAACCAGATCAAGGTCCAGCTTCGCAAGTTCAACAGGTACCTCTGCCTTCCCCAGCCCTGTGGGTGATGAGTGACCCCGAAAAGGGTCCCTGGGTGGATGCTTACCCCCTGCCCACAGGGAGAGCAGCAGCAACATCCTGGACAACCTGCTGTCACGCATGGAGCAGTATGCCAACAACCTGGAGGAGCTGGTGGAGGAGCGAACCCAAGCCTACCTGGAGGAGAAGCGCAAGGCTGAGGCTCTCCTTTACCAGATCCTGCCCCAGTGAGCACCAGGGGGGCCTCAGCCTTCTGTGTACCCCTCCACTGCTGGGCACCCTGGGGCACCACACTGGCATCCCCTGCCTGCCCTGGGGTGTGGTCCCCCATGGATGCTCTGCATGGCTGGGGGTGCTTGGAGGGGCTGGGGACACCAAGGATGCCCAGATGACTTGGGGCTGGGCGTGTTTGGAGGGGCTGGGAACCCCCTGGGGATGCCAAGGACCCCATATTGCTTGGAGCTGGGGATGCTTGGAGGGGCTAGGGACCCCGAGGACCCCCACGTTGCTTGGAGCTGGGGGTGTTTGGAGGAACAGGGGACACCCCAGACTGCTGCATGGCTCAGGGTGCCTGAAGGGGCCAGGGACCCCAAGGTTCCTCTGCCATGGCTCTTTGGGGCTTGGGGTACCTAAAGGGGCCAGGGGTGAACCCAGATCCCCAGCATGGCTTGGGGGTGGGGGTCCTCAGTGGGACCATAGACAACCCCGGTCCCCCATCATGGTTCAGGACTGGGGGTCCTCAGAGGGCTGGAGACCCCAAGGACCCTCCAGCATGGCTGGAGGCTGGGGATGCTGCACCCCCAGGAGGGGTTGGGGGGCTGTGCCCCCCCCCTCACCCACCCCCTGCACCCCCAGCTCTGTGGCGGAGCAGCTGAAGCGGGGGGAGACGGTGCAGGCAGAAGCCTTCGACAGCGTAACCATCTACTTCAGTGACATTGTGGGCTTCACAGCACTGTCGGCCGAGAGCACCCCCATGCAGGTGGTGATGCTGCTCAACGACCTCTACACTTGCTTCGATGCCATCATTGACAACTTCGATGTCTATAAGGTGAGGACACGCACACACGTGCGTGCACATGAATGCTCCGTGGGTCCTGCTGGACACCCCAAAGCCGGCATCCATGGCATGTCCCCACCAGTGTGTCCCTCCACCCTACCCAGGTGGAAACGATCGGGGACGCCTACATGGTGGTGTCTGGGCTGCCGGTGCGCAACGGGAAGCTGCATGCCCGAGAGGTGGCCCGCATGGCCCTGGCACTGCTGGACGCCGTCCGCTCCTTCCGCATCCGCCACCGGCCACAGCAGCAGCTCAAGCTGCGCATCGGCATCCACACGGGTCAGCAGGGATGGGGGTGGGGCAGCTGTATGGGTCAGCAGGGATGGGGACAGGGACATGGCATCCATACAGGTCAGTGGGGACAGGAATGGGGACATGGCACCCACACAGGTCAGTGGGGATGGGGACAGGGGCATGTCATCCATAAGGGTCAGTGGGGATGGGGCCAGGGATATGGTACCCACATGGGTCAGTGGGGACAGGGATGGGGACAGAGACATGGCACCCACATGGATCAGCGGGGACAGGGACAGGGGCATGGCATCCATACAGGTCAGTAGGGACAAGGATGGGGATATGGCATCCACACGGGTCAGTGGGGATGGGGACAGGAACATGGCACCCACACAGATCCATGGGGTGGGGAAACATGGCACCCACATGCACCAGCGGGGATGGGGGGACAGGGCACCTGATGGGGTGAGGGGGCACCCAGCCCTCCCACGGACCCCAGGGACAGGGGAGAGGACACTAGCACCCAGGGGGACCATGGGGCCACCATGGGTGGGAGAACCCGGTGAGGGGGGCCGGGTCAGCACTCAAGGCAGGGGGGGGCTCACTGGGTGTCCCACAGGACCCGTCTGTGCCGGCGTTGTGGGTCTCAAAATGCCCCGGTACTGCCTCTTCGGGGACACAGTGAACACAGCCTCGCGCATGGAGTCCAATGGGGAAGGTGAGGGGTCAGGCTGGGCACCCATGGGTGCTGTCAGGGCCGGGGCTGGGCCAGGCACCCATGGGTGCTGATGGGACCACCTCCCACCAGCCCTGAAGATCCACATCTCAGCGGTGACCAAGGCCGTGCTGGAGGAGTTTGGCTGCTTCGAGCTGGAGCTGCGGGGTGATGTGGAGATGAAGGTGAACCCCAGTCCCCCAACAGCCCCAACCCCCCCAATGGCTGCCCCAGTGGGGTCCCCACAGCTGAGTCCCCCCTCTGCATCTTCATCCCGCAGCCCCCAGTGGGGCAGTGGGTACCCCCCTGCACCCCAACCCCTGGGGCAATGAGCACCCCCTGACCCCTGGGGAAATGGGCCGCCCCTGCACCCAGACCCTCGGGGCAATAGGCACCCCCCCGCACACCCCCTTCACCCCAGCCCCCCCGACCCTCCTCTCTCCACAGGGCAAGGGGAAGGTGAGGACTTACTGGCTGCTGGGGGAGCACGGAAGCAGCACCCGGGGCTGACCCCACCCAGCAGCACCCAGGGCCCGCGGGGCTGTTCCCAGCACCACTGCAAAGGCCCCCCCCGGGCCGGGGCCAAGCGGGGGGCACTGCTAGCGGCTGGGGGCTGGATGCACCCCCCCCAAATGCACCGTGCTCTCCAAACTGACCCCTGACTGCTCCTGGGGTGGGGTGGGGCAACCCCATCCCTGAGTAGCCCAGTGGCCTGACCCTGGCGTGGGCACCAGCGGAGGATCGGGGCCAAGGCCGGTGGGGCAGTTGGGGGGGGAAGGTGATACGGGGGGACGGGGACATCCCTGGACCCCAGGTGGGGGTCACTAGAGCTCTAACTTTTGTAATAAAGCTGGTGTGTATGCGCTTGCCGTGGGTCTCAGTGGGGTCCCACTATGGTCCCCCCCCAGCACCCCACATGCACCCTAGTCCCACTGGGGCATTGAGTGGCCCTGGGGGTATCCCCGAGACAGCGGCCCAAGCCCCCTGGAGGGAGGGGGTGGGCTCTGGGGGAGCTTTGCAAGAGGGGGGCACCCCTGGGGGGGGTCTTTTTAGGGGGTGGGGGCCAGAGGAGCCGGGATGGGGCGGCTGTGCAAGGCAGTGTGGGTCTGGGGGGGGCTGCCCAAGGGGAGGGGGGTATCCCGGCGATGCACGCCGCAGGGGGGTCCCGAGGTTCCCGAGTGGGGTCCGGGAGAACCCCGGGTGCCCGGCCGTGCCCGATCCGGGGGGTTCCCAGGAGCTCCTGGAGGGTCTCGGCCGTGCCCGACCCGGGGGGGGTCCCTGGAGGGTCCGGGGGGTACCGAGGGCTCCGGGACAATCCCGACCGCAAGCAGCGGCTCCGGCAGCGGGAGGGTGGAGCGTCCAGCCAGCGCAGGTCCCGCCCCCCGCCGTTCCATTGGTCGAGTAGCTCGTCGCGGCCCCGCCCCTCCCAGGCCGGCTACCCGCGCTGTCACTCCGAGCCGTTTCCCTGCTGCTATTGGCCAAAGGACAGGAGGGGCGGGCGCTTCCTGCCGCTGTGCGCTTCCTCTTCCCCCCGGGCCCTCCTGTCCCTCTCCCAGTGACTTCCGGTCGGCGGCGCTGGGCGGGGGGTGCGGAGCCGCCGCTC